CCCAGTCCCCCCCGTCCCCACCGGACGAAGTCGCTCAGCGCCGGCACCCGGGAGCTGCGGGTCTTGATCATCTGGGGACACAGGGGGACCCCCCAGGCCCCCCCGTCCCCACCGGACGAAGACGCTCAGCGCCGGCACCCGGGAGCTGCGGGTCTTGATCATCTGGGGACACAGGGGGACACTGGGGACACTTGGGGACACTTGGGGACATCACTGGGGACACCTCAGGGACATTGGGGACACTGGGGACACTTGGGGACACTTGGGGACATCACTGGGGACACTTGGGGACACAATGGGGACACAGGGGGACACTTGGGGACACTTGGGGACACCTCAGGGACATTGGGGACACAGGGGGACAGGGGACAGAGGGGACACTTGGGGACAGTGGAGACATCACTGGGGACAATGAGGGGATTGGGGACATCAGTGGGGACACTGGGGGACATGATTGGGGACACTGGGCACATTTGGGGACACTGGGACAGGGGACACAATGGGGACACTTCAGGGACGTTGGGGACACTGGGGACATCACTGGGGACAGAGGGGGGGTTTGGGGACACTGGGGACACTGGGGACATCACTGGGGACAGAGGGGACAATGAGGGGACACTTCAGGGACACAGGGGACAGAGGGGACACAATGGGGACATCGGGGACACTGGGGGGGATTGGGGACAGTGGGGACACTGGGGACACTTCAGGGATGTTGAGGACACTGGGGACATCGGGGACAATGAGGGGACACCTGGGGACAGTTGCGGGGATTGGGGACAGTGAGGAGACATCACAGGGGACACTGGGGACATTTGGGACACTGGGGACACTTCAGGGACAGTGGGGGGATTGGGGACATTGGGGACACTTTTGGACATCACTGGGGACATTATTGGGGGCATCGAGGACATTAGGGGGACACTGGGGACACTTCAGGGACATTTGGGGACACTGGGGGGGGTTGGGGACACCACCGTGGACATTGGGGACACCCTGGGGACACCCCGGGGACACCCCAGGGACACTTCAGGGACATGTGGGGACATCAGGGGGATTGGGGACACCCTGGGGGGGGGGGGTTGGGGACACCCTGGGGACATTGGGGACACCCCGGGGACACTTCAGGGACACTGGGGACACCCTGGGGACCTTGAGAACACCACTGAGACCCCCTGGGGACACTGGGGACACTTCAGGGACATTGGGGGGTTTGGGGACATCACTGGGGACATTGGGGACACCTTGGGGACATCACTGGGGACACTGGAGGGATTGGGGACACTGAGGGGACATGGGGGGGTGGGGACATCAGCAGGGACATTGGGGACACCTTGGGGACATTACTGGGAGACTGGGGACATTGGGGGCACCCCAGGGACACTTCAGGGACATGTGGGGACATCAGGGGGATTGGGGACACCTTGGGGACATTGGGGTCACTGGGAGGACCTTGGGGACACCCTGGGGACACCCTGGGGACACCCTGGGGACACTGGGGACAGGGGCCAGCACTCACCAGCAGCACCTCGCTGTCCTCCTCCAGCTTCCCCTGCCACGTGTACCTGGGACCAGGGGACACGGGGACAGTGGGGACAGTGGGTGGCACCTCCCCGTGCCCCGTCCCCAGTGTCCCAATCCCTTCAATCCCCTGGTGTCCCCCCAGTGTCCCCAATGCCCTCAGTGTCCCCCTGTCCCCACTGTCCCCATGCTGTCCCCACCATCCCCAGTGTCCCTGTACTGTCCCCATTGTCCCCAGTGTCCCCCCTGTCCCCGCTGTCCCCCCCCGTCCCCACTCACACCGAGGTCACTCCGGGGACGATGTTGACGCAGGCGGCCAAACGCTGCTGCACCAGAGCCCTGCAGGGGACAGGGCAGGGACAGCGTCACCTGTGTCACCTGTGTCACCTCCTGTGTCACCTGTGTCCCCTGTGCCACCACCTGTGTCACCTGTGTGCCACCTGGCTGTCACCTGTGTGTCACCTGTGTCACCTCCTGTGTCACCTGTGTCCCCTGTGCCACCACCTGTGTCACCTGTGTGCCACCTGGCTGTCACCTGTGTGTCACCTGTGTCACCTCCTGTGTCACCTGTGTCACCTGTGTCACCTGTGTCACCCCTGTGCCACCTGTGTGTCACCCCTGTGTCACCTGTGACAGCCCTGTGCCACCCCTCACCCCCTGGGACGCGACAGGGACACCTGGGTCACCTCCTGTGTCACCTGTGTCACCTGTGCCACCACCTGTGTCACCTGTGTGCCACCCATCACCCCCTGGGAGGGGACAGGGACAGGGACAGTGTCACCTGTGTGCCACCTGTGACAGCTCTGTCTCACCTGTGTCACCTCCCTGTGTCACATGTGCCACCCCTCACCCCCTGGCATGGGACAGGGACAGTGGGGTCACCTGTGTGTCACCTCCCTGTGTCACCTGTGTCACCCACCACCCCCTGGGACAGCCACAGTGTCACCTCTGTGTCACCTCCCTGTGTCACCACCCCCTGCCACCTGCTGTGTCACCTCCCTGTGTCACCTGTGTCACTTGTGTCACCCCCTGGGACAGGGACAGTGGTGTCACCCCCGGTGTCACCCCCTGTGTCACCTGTGGGGCCTGTGTGCCACCTGTGTGTCCCCTCCTCTGTCACCTGTCACCTCCCTGTGTCACCTGTGTCACCCACCACCCCCTGCGAGGACAGGGACACCTGTGTGTCACCTGTGTCACCTGTGTGCCACCTGTGACAGCCCTGAGTCACCTGTGTCACCTGTGTGTCACCTGTGTCACCCCCTGTGCCACCCGTGTGTCACCCTCAACCCCCAGGACAGGGACAGTGTCACCTCTCCCTGCCACCCTTGGGGACAGTGCCACCCTGGTGTCCCCCCAGTGTCCCCCCAGTGTCCCCAGTGTCCCCTGCCCAGCTCGGTGTCCCCTCAGTGTCCCCCCAGTGTCCCCAGTGTCCCCGGTGTCCCCAGTGTCACCTGGCCAGCTCGGTGTCCCCAGTGTCCCCAGTGTCCCCAGTGTCCCCTGCCCAGCTCGGTGTCCCCAATGTCCCCCCAGTGTCCCCAGTGTCACCTGGCCAGCTCGGTGGCCACGCTGAGGTTGGGGCAGGTGACGAAGGCGGCCGAGACGTCCCCGGTGTCACCCGCGCTGTCCCCTCTGCTGTCCCCTCTGCTGTCCCCGGTGCCGCCCGCGGTGCCGTTCCCGGCGCTGCCGCACGTGTCCCCCGCTGTCCCCGGGGCTGTCCCTGGGGCTGTCCCCGCTGTCCCCTCCATGGTGGCCGCGGTGGCCGTTGTCACCCTCCGGCCCAGCCCCGGCAGCAGCAGCAGCGACAGCGCCTGGGCAGGGAGAGAGAGGGAGCGGCTGTCGCGATAGCGGCGATAGGGCCTGTCGCGATAGGGCCTGTCACGATAGGGCCTGTCACGATAGGGCCTGTCAAGGTACAGCCTGTCGCGATAGGGCCTGTCACAACACCGGCCTGTCACAATATCAGCCTGTCGCAATAGCAGCGATACCGGCCTGTCGCGATACTGCCAATACAGCCTGTCACGATACCAGCCTGTCATGATACCAGCGATACAGCCTGATGCAATACCGGCCTGTCGCGATAGCAGCCTGTCGTGACACTGGCAATAGCAGCCTGTCGCGATAGCAGCCTGCTGCAATATCAGCCTGTCGCGATAGCACCGATATCGGCCTGTCGTGACACCGGCGATACAGCCTGCTGTGACACCGGCCTGTCACGACATCGCCTGTCACGATATTGGCGATACGGGCTGTCACGACACCGGCCTGTCGCGATAGCAGCCTGTCATTCCATCAGCCTATCGCGACAGAGACCCATCCTCACGGTGCTGTGTCACGACACCGGCCTGTCGCGATATCGGCCCATTACAGCACCGGCCTGTCGCGACAGGGGCGCACCGCAGCAGCGCTGTGTCGTGATAGCGCCTATCGCGATATCGCCTGTCGCGATATCGGCCCGTTGTGACACCGGCACGTCGCGACACCGGCACGTCGCGATACGGGCACGCCTGTCGCGACAGCGGCGTGTCGCGATATGGGCTGGTGGCAGCCCCAGCGTGTCGCAACAGCCCCGCGCCGTGACATCCGTGTCGCAATATCCCTGTCGCGATATCCCTGTCGCAATACCCCCGTCGTGATATCGCCCCCGTCGCGATATCCCTGTCCGACACCGGCCCTGTCGCCACACCGGCGCTATCACGACGTTCCCTCCCGACACGGCCGCTATCGCGATATCCCTGTCCGACACCGGCCCTGTCGCGATATCCCTGTTGCGACACCGGCGCTATCGTGACGTTCCCTCACGACACGGCCGCTATCGCGATATCCCTGTCGCGATAACTGCGTCACGATAACCCGGCGTGTCGCGATATCCCTGTCCGACACTGGCCCTATCGCGATATCCCTGTCGCGACGGCCGCCCTCCCAAAAAGCCCGGGCGCGACACCGCCCGCCCCCGTCGCGATATCCCCCCCAATATCGCGATATCCCCCCAATATCGCGATATCCCCCTCCCATGTCGCGATATCCCCCCGATACCCCCCCA